CATGTATCGAGCTAGCCATACTCAATGTTTCAACATCGAGTAAGCACATCGTGCGATGTAAACAGGCAGATAGTTTTGGTACAAGCATCGAGCATCAACATCGAGCAAACATGTTTGATGTGCTCAACATCGAGCACCAACATCGAGCAGTTATGCTCGATGTTACCCGCAAGGTAAGTCTTCTAATTTTAAAAAATTTTCCTCTCTTGGTTTGGAGCCAAGGGAATTTGAATTTGAAAATTTTGGCTCCTCCCCTGCCATTCTGACCCACTTCTGAACACTTTAACTTTTGTCCCCCATTCCATTAGATTTCTTGTCTCTTCCTTAGTTCTATAAAAAACCACACTTGTTTCTTTTCTCTCTTCACACTTCTCATTTCTCACATAAGCCATAAAATTTCTCTCTTCGTTTGTTTTTGCAAAGTGCTCTAGGAGTCCATAAATGTTTGCTTTTCTACACTATTCATCTCTTGTTCTTATGGTTGAAATTGTTAGATCTTTTTAATCTTATGCCATTTGAACTAGTTTTGTTTTGTTTAGTTTCCTTGTTTTGATTTTGCATGGTGGATTGAATTGTTTAAAGCAAGTTAGAATGTTAGAGCTGATCATTGTTCATAATCTACTAGCTTGCTTTACTTAATGTCCCTTATGCATTATCACTTCTCATTTTGTTTAAGAGCCACCATGCTAGGTTCATGTGCATAAGTTGTTAAAAATTTGCTTAGAATTCTAACATGTTTGTAGTATTTTGCTCTTGAATTCTCTTGTTTCTTTAGAAATTTACATGTTTAAACAACTAGTTAGACCTCTTGTAGATTTGAGAAAATATTTTTTTTAGAGCATTATATCATTGCTTTTCATCCCATTTGTTCTTATACTTATTAGATCTTCAAGACTTGTTCTTGTAGGTACTATCGGGGGAACCAATGAACCAGCTGGAAACAAAAGTCAAATAGCTAGGAAGAAGGTGCCTACAACTCTAGCAATAAAGGACAAAGGCAAGAGGTTTGCTGAGGGTCAGTCTTCAAAGGCTGATGGAAAGAAGATAGTAGAAAGCAAGGCTGCCAAATCAAAAGCCAAGGGGAATGAGAAAGTTGTTGAAGAAGCCCCCAACAAAAAACCAAGTTCAAGAGAGCTTGCAGAACTCTTCAACCAATGCATCTTCAAGACTACGATGGAGTTGAGATAAAACCGCGAATGTAGATGGATTTAAACTAAATTTTTCTAGTTAGTTGTTTCTCGTTTAAACTACACATGTATGAACTAGCTATTTGTACGTGTAAATATGGTAAATTGAATCAACCAATCGAGCATCATAAAAAGTTCGTCGGTCTCTCTATCAGTTTGCAATGTTCCAAATTAAACTAAGGTTAAAAAAAAAGAGTTCTAAATTAAGCCAGGCCAATTAGTCAGAGATTAGTTGTTGATTAACATGAGACTTGTTTTCTGTCTCTTTTATGTTTGATTAATGTTTAATTTTTCTGTCAAATGATGCCAAAATTGATGCAGTCGGATGATTTTTACTGCTTCCTATTATTTGTTAGCAGTTCTATATACTTGTATAGTACTATAGTGGGTCCACCTTAATGTGTGGTAAGTGTTAGGTCCTACGTAGTCAAGTATCTCTCCGGGTGCAGTGAACTACAAGTAACAGAAGAGACACAACACTTACAAGAAACATTTAGATGGTCGTAAAGAAGAAAGTGAGTAGTGTGACCACTCTGTTAAGTCCCTCAGCTATAGTGTTCGTTATGGTCCATATGCAGTGATTATTATATTCAAGTTGTGACATATCAATGTGACAATTTAATAAGTGTTTTCCAAAATTTATACAATGCTGACTCCACTTCCTATGATTAATTTGAGTTTCTATCCAAAATATACAGTAGATTCTCCGAACCTGACATATATACGGTTCTCGGATTCGGACATTTCTTTGGTTCACTCGATTCTGGTCCACGCATGTACATAGGCCTGTTGGTTTACCTTATTTCAGAAACATAAGATTTTCTGTATGTTGTTTTTTTTGTGTGGGTGAAAATAATTCTCTTTTAAAACACTATTTCTGTTTGATTTCGTTTTTTTGCCGAGCTTATTGTCTTCAACGCAGCTATGTCTCTGTGGCTCCAGCTTTCTCTAACCTATGCACCACAAGTTTAATTATTGTGTTTCTAATATACTTTATATGGGAGATAATTACTTATGACTGATCCAGATTTCTTTTTTTTCTTTCTCATTAGTATTTTGTGTTTATTTTTGTTTTTGTTAAAAGTATTTTGTGTTTAGCAGGTTAGCTTTCCATATTAAACTAGGCTTCATCAATGTGTTAAAATGCTTGGAAATGTAGAAATATGAGAATTATTCACTTGTGAAACAGTATTTTCTTAAACAAATCTGGCAATCGATTCATCAAAATTGATCAGTAGATGGTTCATGTAATTGCCATGCAAGTACGCAACGGAAAATAATAAGGAATCTAATAAATAAATAAAAACAGTCGGGTGGACCAATGAGGCCATGCCTCCAATAATAGAGGGGGCGGTGCTAACCCAACTTTTTGAAAACATTTTTTTAAAAACTTTTTAAATATAAAAAATTAGTAGTCGAACGAATAAAATCTTATTATACAAAGTTGGATGCGTTAAAATTAGCAATTCATATAATTGTGATATATAGTAAATCTTCTCATTCATATTTTGAAACGTGTCAATTAAATTAAAAAAAATTAAAGATAAAAAAGATATGTATTTTGGTCTATAAAAAAAAATAATCAAACACAATAATCCTAAAATAAAAAGAAAAATACTATTTGAAAAAAGTTTATAAAAGGAATTAATTCATTTTGAAAAAGAGAAATAAGCTAAAATACTAATCTTAAAAGAAAAAAGAATATATTACTTTTATCTATATAAACACATAAAATCTTTCAAAAAATTTTACCAAACAAAATAATACTTCTTGAGCTTCATTCTATAGGTATAATTTTCCTTCTTTTATTGTGTTATTATTATTCAAACACTTTATATAATAAGATTCCAAATTTTTATCCTTTATGATTCTTTTGCTGAACATCTAAAGTGTTTTCGATATTAAATAATTAGACATTCCAAAAAAATTATATGGAAAATTTGCAACGTATGATTACAAGAAAAATGAAATCATATATACTAAGATATGACATTGGATGAACTCAATGAAGAGGATGATCAGAAGTATGTAGAGAAACTTTTGATGCGAGTCTTGAGAAGCAAAACTTTCTTAGAAAATAAAGAGATTAGAAACAAGATATGAATGTGAAGAGAAAAATAAATTTTGTTTGTATGGAGAGAGTTAATAGAGATAGAGTTAACATATTCGAAAGATCGAATTGCATACCAAGATTTTTAACACACGATTGATTTTTGTTAAAAAAAAAGAACACGATTGATTTAACTAGCTCCAGCCTTTTTCTTGACAGAATGTTTTTTTATTTATTTTATTTTCTCTGTTCAGTATTTATAGTTTTGTACATATAAATTCATAAGTGGTATAAAATCTATTAATGCATTTTCTACTATTAAATTTGGCAGAAAAAGAAAGAAGCTGACGATAACTTTAGTACGAGTCTACGACAGACGAGATATACGTACAAATTAATTAGTTAAACTACTAGAGATCTATTTCAGTAAATATCACTAGTAGTTTAACTAATTAATTTGTACGTATATTTAGCAAATATCACTGTACGAATGGGTTAGTCGAGATACTTGCTTCTGAGATATTTTTTGTTTGTTATAGTTATGAAACATAAGCTAACCAGCTAATGTTCAAAAAAAAATATAAGCTAACCAGCTAATTAGAATTTAGAGAGTTATAGAAAGAAATAAAGTAGAGATAAAAAGCACATGAAGTAGGAACATAATTAATGGAGCTTCGATAATAAGCATGAAAATAAAAGAACATGTTTTGGCATGCAGAAGGAGAATTATGCATTTGTCTTTTTTCACGTGATTAACCTAAAGCACTTAGCATATAATACCTTCTTCCCACATGTAGTTCTTCATAGGCTCATCACTCATAATTTATTGGTTTTATAATCCCCCTCTGTTTTTTCTGGTCGTAAGTTCATGTTAATTATCAGGTTCATCTAATCTATGAAATTTGAGATTAAAATTAGGGGAATGGGATTAATCAAACAAGAAGAAAAGTTTACAAATTTTGAATGTTTTTAGCTGAATCATATATAAAAGAAAAGTAGATTGGGGGAATCAATATAGATTAATTAGAGAAGTGGAGCGGCGAGAGTGGAGCCAAAAGAGAGATGCTTATCCACTCTTCAATCAATTATACAAAACTACAAGTCACACTAACTTAGCTTGCATCACATGCCTCACTCACTAATTCAGTCATATAATTACATGAATATTGAATTTTGTTTATTTCCAATGACATAAGAAAATTGGTGTCAATGTTGGGGAGTTGTTGAACGTGAGATGTGACCTATGTCTTCTTCTTTCTTTTGCTTTCTTCTATCACTTGTCATATCATATTCTATAGCATATAATTGTATGTTTGTAAACAGTTTTTTTTTTTTTTCACTTACTTCCATTGGATGACATTGTGTCATAGGTTCAGTAATATGCAATTTAAAAGTAACACATTAAAACACTACTTCTCGCCATACCAATCAAGATCTATTATTAAAAATTTGTTCACCACAGTCGTTTTTCTAAACTAACATAATGACAAAAGTAACATAAATCTAATGATAGATTTAACATTGTGGTTGATGAATGGAAGATAATAATAAAAAATTATAGTAAATTTATCGGTTTCTACAAAATCATTTCAATGTTTGACTTCCTCACACACCTTATGCCTCTCTCTCTCCATCTCTTTAAGACAGTGTAAGTGTGTATGACAAGCAAGTATTTCTCTCCTCTCTCAGCCTACTTCTTTTTAAATCTTCCCAACATCACTCTCTCTGAAAAAACCCCCTAATTACTTTTTTTTTTCAAATTAATGGGGAAGCTCCAGAAGATTGGGAGAGTATGGGATTGTCTGTTTCTTCCAACAAATCAGTGTTCATGTTTTTGTCTAAACACTCTAGAAAACGATGAAGAAGAAGAGGAGTTTGCGAAGAAGCCACTGATAGATTCTTCAACAGAGAAATCTGGAAAGATCATGAGATTAAAAGATGTTGTATCTGCTGAGCATCGTCAGACTCTTGCCTTTCATCTTAAGCCTAAGGTAACCACAAATCATACCCAACATTATGTCTTGAAATAATATATGATGATGTCTGATGATTTCTTGAGCTTTGAAAAATGCTTATCACAATGCAATTTTTTTTTGGAAACAGTGAAATAAATGTTTTATTAGCTCTTAAAAAGTTGTGTGGGGCTTTTTTCTCTTCTATGGTGGTGTGCGTTTATCTTGTTATTCCACCACATTAGCGTTTTTTTTTGTTCTCCCAAAATCAAATAGAATAATATATTCCATGGTTACTACAAGTTATAACAAATTCAGTTTTCATTTTTAATGAGTTCTTTCAAGAGTTTAAAGTTCGGATTTTAATTTAAAATAATGAAATAAACTGTCCGGACGATGATGATGGTGATGTTTGCAGGTAGTGGAGCTAAAGGTGTCTATGCATTGCTACGGATGTGCGAAGAAAGTCGAGAAGCATATTTCTAAATTAGACGGTAACGCCAAATTTTCTTTATTTCTTTAGGCATTTCTTTTAGGGCAATACGATCACAAGACATGAATACAATAATTGCACCTAGCTAGTTTATATTTCTTTTTCTTTTGTCGCTAAACATTTATAAAAATGGGTAAACTTATCTAATTTTTTTAAAAAAAACATATGTATCATTGCAGACTAAAATAGAACCTGAATTCAAACATCAGAACTGTTGGCTTTTATATGATTCTTACAATTTCTAAACTGAAAAAGTTTGTTAAACTGTTGAAAGATTGTGAATAAATGGCTTTATTTTAATAAACAGGAGTGACATGGTACAAAGTGGAGCTTGAAAGCAAGAAGGTAGTGGTGAAAGGGAACATAATGCCTGTAGATGTGTTAGAGAGTATTTGTAAGGTCAAGAATGCTCAGCTTTGGCCTTCTTCTTGATTTCTTTCTATATTCACATGGGCTTTTCATGTCCATCTCTGTCCTCATGTTATATCATTACCATTATCTAATTATGCGTAGATTACACATGCATGCATCTATCTCTCTAATCTATCCTTTTTTTTTGGATCCATTCTATTTGTAATATCTTGAATCTATGTCTCATTATAGTATATAACTAAATGAGGATGACTGGTTTAATCTTAAGCATGTGCATGTATTTACTATTTAGTGACGACTTATTCCTAATTTCGACCAAAGATATTAAAACTGCGTGACTACAACCACTTGAAAACGTATTAACGTATCATTTAATGAAGTATACATTATTAAAACTCAGTGAATTTACACGGATATAGCCGAATAAACAAAAGAAGTTTTTGGTTTGTTGAATTAAAAAAAAAGTGTCATCACTTCAATTAGGAGTGTTAGGGATATGATTATTTATAGGTTTGAGAGTCATGAAAGTCTAAGAACATACAACATTATTTTTCTATTTCTTTAGAAGTTTATATTGGACCACTAATTTACATTTTAAACTATATGGTAATAGTAATACACAGCATCTAATTAGAATATTGTTTTGATTAAAAGATATATAACTTTAGAAGATTGGACTCGAAGTATTACAAAATCGGTAAACATTAGTCGTGTGAAGTGTGGACCATAGGAAGCCCCCTCCTATGGGCATAGCTGATTCCTAGCCTCGTTTACGGAATCTAGCTTTGAAATGGATCAGCTCAATTTTGGGTATCTATGTCAGATCTAATATTGACTTGTTATAGAAATGTAAAAAAGTCTTTGAGACAATTTAATGAAATATCTTGTTTGCATCCTCTAAATCCTTCGCATGTTCTCGTTTCAATATAAACCATTAAGTAATTTTACTTGCATTAAGTTTCAGTCGAAAGCTGTGAGACAGTGTTTCGTACCAAAAAAAAAGAAAGCTGCGAGACAGTGTTCACATTTATGATCCGTACAAATTAGCAATTGTTGGAGTCATTACTTGTATGTTAATTTGGTTGTTGTTAGTGCATTGTTTTGTTTTGGTGACTAAGTACACGAGAGACCTACAATATGGTCGATACCTTTGCCAAAATGGCCTACAATTCAATGCAAATCTTAACCAGTAAGTGTGGTCTAGTGATTATTAACTTAAGATTTAGATTTATAAAAAGAAAAAAAAGATATAAACTTACAAAGATTTTGGATTCGATTGCTTTATCTAACAACTAAGTTATCCGTTTATACTTTGTGACTAAATTTTACCCGTTTAAATTTATCTATTTTTTTAGTCAACTCAAATTTATCTATTCGTTAAATTAGTTAAATTAGATTATGATAAGTTGATGAAATTACGAACACAAAGGTATTTAGGAAAAATTGGTATTTACTTTTTTAAGAATTATGTTACAAAATACATAAACTTATATGGTATTTACTCTTTTAAGAATTATGTTACCAAATACCATTAAAAGATAACCATAATTTTTCTCAATTAAAATAAACATAAACATAAACGTAAATGATATATTCATAGTCGAAGATAAATTTCAAAATTTTTTATGAAAGATCATATAGGATTTTGTAAAAAACAAATTATTAAATTAATAATAAGCTCTAGATTTATAAAAGGAAAAAGAGTTAGAGGCCCTCCTCGAGAAAAAAGAAAGCCCAATATGATAATTGTCTTTACCATAGAGCGAAAGGCTGGAATGCCACTTTCAAAAAAAAATTGATCTGTTGTGCCACTTTTTAATCTAATGCCACTCTCTCATTTAAATGAGATATGAAATTATAATTTTATCCTTAATAAAAGTAATTGAAATTAATTGAGTAAAAGTAAATTAGTAAATCAGTAAAAGTTAAATTAGTAAAAATAATTAAAAGTAAAATCAGAAAAATCAAAAAATAAAAATAAAATTGAATCTGAGATCTTCTTCTTCCTCCCTCCCGCGAGCTGAACTCGTAGCTGTCTTCTGGTAAGCTCCTCTCTCGTTCCCCTCCCGTGAGCTTCTTCTCCTGTCATCCTCTTTCTCCACTTCGTCCGACCAAGTTTTGGGGTCTTCTTTATCCTATTCTGCCATTGTTGAATATCCTATTTTTAAGGTGAATTCTTCTTTTTCAATTAGAGATAGATTTGATAAAATTAGGGATTTAGATTTGAAAAAATTAGAGATCTGGGTTGGTAACAATGTATTATGGATAGATTAAGCCATAGGTTCGGTAATTTGTGAGAAGAACGTAGTTATGTTAATCAGATTCATATGTAGAACCTGAGCTCCTCGAAATTCTTCGAGTTATGATAGGGAGAACGGTACAACTAGTACAACTAAGAGCGAAAATGTACAACTAAGTTATTGAGTTAAATTGGTACAACTGAAAACTTAAGTTCAACTGGTACAAATGAGAGGTGTAGTTGAACTGGTACAACTGAGTTCAATTGAGTTCAACTGGTACAACTGATACAAATGAGAGGACTAGTTCAACTGGTACAACTGAGTTCAAATTTGTTCAACTGATACAACTGTGGTACTTTGTTGATCGATTATTTTCATTATATTTTCAGGAGAGCATGAGCATCAACCACACAAACATATATTTTGACTATGGAGGGAGTTATTCACGTGACGGAGGGGAGTTGAAATGGTTTACAAGTAATTCTACATATGCTATACCATTTAGGAACTTATCTGTGGAGGAGATAACTTACTCGGCATTAGTAGATAAGATATGCAGTAAGATTGGGATAGATAGAGCTAATGCACACCTGAAATTGAGTTACATTCTGTTGGTAAATAAACCGATCAACGAGACAAAGATTTTTGTTGATGATGACGTATATGCTTATCTAACAACAATGGATAACGAGGGGCTAAGGTCTGTTTTGCATGTGGAAGTAGTCAAAGGTTTAGAAACAAATTCAGTTTCTAAAGCGGGTAGGAGTGAGCAAGCTTCTAAAGTGGATAGTTCATTTGGTGTGAATTATGAAGAGCCGGTTGCAAATGGTAGAGCTGATGATGATGTCTGTAATGCAATTACTATTTATAGAGCAGCCTCGGAAAGAGAAGAACATAGGGAGCCGATTATTGAGGAGGTGACAGAGAACGATGGTAATGAATTTACTGATGGGGATATGGAGAACGGTTTGGATGGTATGCATGAATATGTTGAGCTTCCAGGTTCTGCAGAAGTTAGTCAGTGTGTTGAAGAATGGGAAGATGGTACAGGTCTTGAAATTGGTCAAGAATTTTGTTCTAAGGAGGCAGTGCAAGATTTGGTTGACAGAGCTGCACATAAGAATTGTTTTGGGGTCCATACTTATAAGTCAGATACAAGGCGACTTATTCTAGAATGCCGTCAGAAGAATCAAGGCTGTAAATGGTATTTACGAGCTGCAAGGTTTAAGAAATCGGATTACTTCAGTGTTAGAGTATACAGAAAGATGCATACATGCTCTTGGGCCGTTGAGAGTACAAGCAGTAGTAGAAGGAGAGGCACCCCACGACTAGTAGCATCTGTTTTGCAGCAAGACTATCCGGGTCAATTTGACACCCCATATCCTAAAAATATCGTTAATTTGGTTCAGAGTAGAGCTGGTGTTAGGTTGTCCTACTCTACCTCCTTAAGAGGAAAAAAACTAGCTGTTAGTGATGTGCGGAGCACTCCTGAAGAAGGTTATAGGCTGCTATACTCTTATTTGTACATGCTAGAGAAGGTAAATCCTGGAACCGTAACAAGTGTGGAATTGGATGCAGAGAAAAAGTTTAAGTACCTATTCATTGCTTTGGGCGCTAGCATTGAAGGGTTTCACGCAATAAGGAAAGTGATAGTTGTGGATGCAACATTTCTTAAGACTGTATATGGTCGACAGCTTGTCTTTGCCATAGCTCAAGATCCTAATCATCACCATTACCCCATTGCTTTTGGTGTAATTGATAATGAGAAGCATGACAGCTGGATGTGGTTTTTCGAGAAGCTGAAAATCGTTATACCTGATGATCCTGAATTGGTTTTTATGAGTGACAGACATAAAAGCATCATAAATGCAGTAGCGAAGGTGTATCCCCACTCCCAGCATGGACATTGTATATGGCATTTGTCTCAAAACGTGAGAGGTAAAGTTCAGCATAAGGTGAACAAAGATCTAGTGGCGGCAAAATTCATCCAATGCGCTCATATTTATACTGTGAGTGAGTTCGAAAGGGAGTATGCTGATTTTAAGAAGAGGTTTTCTGCAGCTGCTGTGTATTTGCATGAGACTGTACCGTTGGATAAGTGGGCAAAGTGCTACTTTAAAGGAGACAAGTACAATTTAGACACCAGCAATTCTTGTGAATCTCTCAACAGTGTGTTTAAAGAAGTAAGGAAGTACTCTCTTTTACCAATGATTGATGCGATTGTTGAGAAAATAGGATATTGGTTTAACAAGCATAGGAAGACTGCTGCTGATATGCCGATGTCAAAGAAAGTGGTGCCTTATGTGGATAACAAATTGCATAAACTATGTCCAATTGCTGCTCGTTTAGTTGTGGCTGAGATAAACAGCTTCCAGCTTGAATACACTGCTATTGGACTCGACGGGAAGGCTTACTTGGTGGATTTGTCGAGTAAAACTTGCTCTTGCAGAGGGTTGGATATAGACAAGTATCCTTGCGTTCATGCAATCGCCGCAGCCGCAGCACTGATGAAGAAAGGAGGGAGAACAGCGGATATTAGTCTATATGACTTATGCTCTAGATATTACTTGACTGATACGTGGGCATTGGCATACTACAGGACGATTTATCCAGTATCGAATGAGTCTAGTTGGAGTATTCCTGAGGAAATACTCGATAAATTTGCTTTACCACCTGATTACACCAAATCGCCAGGAAGAAATCAAGAAAACCGCTTTCCATCCACTGGGGAACGTCGCAGGAAAACGAGTAACAGGTCTGTGTCTGGCAGAGGTTTCGCTTTCTATTTCCAGAGCAGCCAAAGTGGCAGCTCAGTTTGATTTATGTGTATGGTTTCCATTAAACATCATTTTGTGCTATGGTTCAACTAGAAATATAATAGTTTGAACTGGAAACCATACACATAAATCAAACTGAGCTGCCACTTTGGCTTTTACAGTTTTACAGTTTGGCTTTTACAGTATGGTTTTCACTTTGGCTTTTCCACTTTTGTATGTTTATGTGTATGGTTTCCATACACATAACTTAGTTGTCCCCAAGGAAGCAGTTGAACCTATTTCTTAATAGTTGTACTTTTACAGTTTGTATTTCTAGTTGAACCTTCCTCTAAACTATTATATGGTTTGTCGTCACTATGGCTTAGAGCAGGGCTTGGAGCAGGGCTTGGAGCAGGGCTTCGAACACTTGGAGCAGGGCTTCGAACACTTTCAGGACCTTTGATTTGGTGCTCCTTCACAAAACTTTCTACACTTTTCAATCGATCATCAAAACCATCCACCTTATTCTTTACTTCTTGTATCACTTTCTCCATTCTCTCCACCGCTTCCTTCAGCCCCAACAACGATGCAACACTTTCATCTTTACTTTCATCTTTAGTTTCATCATTACTTTCATATTTAAGTGCCTTTTTCGCATCTTCATCTACAACTCGAGCTGCCAAGTCGATATCATAGAGATCTTTCCACCATATCTTCCTCTCTTTTCTCATTAGATGGTCTCGCCACATCTCAACAATTGGATCAATGAAGCCTATACCATCATCACAATCATCGCCTATGATATGCTCCATCAAAGCTTTCTCATCAGAGTCAGGTTCCAAGATGCTTATGATATCCTAAGAATATCAACAAAAAATAATAATCAAAATCAAACTCATATTAAATACAAAATAACCATATATAAGTATTATCTCTCACCTTGGTATTTCCAATCGCCTCGTTTATGTCTTCCAGTGGATAACCTTTCATGGAAGTCTCCAAGAACTTGTGCTTGCACATCCTTGGACAGTCCTTCTCCGTGGTAACCTCTACTCGAAACGTGCATTTAAGCATATGAATACACTCAAACGCAAAAATCTACACATACAATTGTATTAAAATCGATTTAAAACAATTACAAAACCATCACAATTAATATTTACCTCTAGAGGAAGAATGAATCCAGAAAATGTCAATGACTCTTTGTCTTTGACGATGCCTTTCTTGAATTTCTTCATCGCCCTCTTCATCTCCTCCATATAATCATCAAAAGTATAACACCCCCATGGAAATGTCTTGCACAATGTCAAATCATCAACCACTTTAAGCAAGAAAGGCTCTATGTTCCCTTTCACCTTAGATTTCGCTTTCAACACAGTGCATAAGAAAAACAGAACAGCCATCTTCTTCTTATCTAAGCCGCTCGTCAATGACTGCATTTTCTCTTCCACATCTTCGATTCTTATATTGTCCTTCCTTCCAAAAATCCTTTGCACAAACTTAAAATCGCCTTTTTTCTTATCCCTCAAGTCATCATATACCCTCGGGTAGTGGTGACAGTCCAACCCACTTAACAGAGCATATTCCCTAATGGAATATCTGATCGGTACTCCATTAACCACAAACCAGAACTCCTTCTCTGAATCCGTACAAGCTTGATGAAGTAGCAACATCCACAAACCCATAGGCTTTCGGTTTGGCTCCTCCTCCATATGAAAAATATGCTTGAATTGAGGATGTCTTGTGAATCATGTCGATTCATTTTTCAGCTTCTTTATCATAGACACTGTCTTCACGACAGTACATCTGGATCCTATCTTACATACTCTGGTACATTGATCTGGAGTGAAGTAGAACTTCTCTGGTTGCAATAGTGGCGTTTCATCCTCTTCATCCCGCGAATTCAAACACAGGTTTAATGAACAATTTAATTCTTAGTCGAACCTAGAAAACGCAGTTGAACCTAAGAAACTTAGTCGAACCTAGAAAACGCAGTTGAACCTAGGAAACGAAGTTGAACCTATTCATACGTAGTCGAACCTATTCAGAAGTTGTTGAACTTATTAAGACGAAGTTGAACTTATTGAGACGTAGTCGAACCTATTCAGACGTAGTTCAACTTATTAAGACGTAGTCGAACCTACTGAGACGTAGTTGAACCTATTCAGACGTAGTTGAACCTATGCAAACGTAGTTGAACCTAATCACTAAATCATCCTAACATATTTTCATTCATTCTCCAATATTAATCTCAATTTCAAGGTAAGTAAAAATGCATAAAACTTGTAAATAATACCTCTTTCTCAAGACCAGCTTCTTTTTCTTGCTCTTCCTCGAGAGGAAGCTCCTTTTCTTGGACTTCTTCGTGAGCAAGCTCTTGGGTAGCAGAATTTGATGGTTCTCCTTCAAACAATACCATAGCTAAATCAATGTTTATCTCTCCTGGAGTTTGTACTTCTGGGGTTGGTGAAGCCGTTGCTTCTGCGTCGGTTTTAGGAGGAGGAACGTCCCCTGCGATTACTCCTTCTGTTGCTCCTTCCGTGGGAGGAAGAACTTCTGCGGTTGCTTCGACGATTTCAGGTGGAACGTCCAATGCAACTCCTTCAATTTCTGGTTCTCCTTCTGTGGTTGCTGCGACGGTTTCAGGAGGAGGAGAGTTCGGAGGAGGAACGTCTAGTGCAGCTTCTTCTGTGGTTGCTGCGACGGTTTCAGGAGGAGGAGAGTTCAGAGAAGGAACGTCTACTGCAGCTCCTTCTGTGGTTGCTGAGACGGTTTCAGGAGGAGGAGAGTCCGCTGCAGTGGTTGCTGCGACGGTTTCAGGAGGAGAAACATCCAGTTCAGCGGTTTCTCCTTCGTTTTCAATCTTCTTTCTTGGACGATCTTCTCTTCTTCCTGTCCTGTATTTACCGCCTCTCACCCGAACCATCTCTGACAATTAAATGATCAAACCATCACCATCAATCCTAATTGAATGAGTTCCCAATTGAATCCCAAATTGGCAGATAAGAGAAGAACGAGATATTTCACAGGACGAGAAGGAGCAGCGAACAAAGTTCTTACCTAGAAACTAAACTCTCAATAGTGAAGAGATGCAGAGGAGAAGAGGAATCAGACAAGTGATGCGGAGGAGATGATGAATCGAAGAGGACCTGTGCGGAGGAGAAGACTAATCGGAGAGGAGCAAAAGAAGAGAGGCGGAGAAGTATCAGAGAGGACCTGATGCGGAGGCTCGGAGAAGAAGCAAGAAGAGATTCACGGTTTCTAGTTTCTGAGATTCACGGTGTCTCCGTCGAACTCCGATTTACAGTTTGTAAAAATTAAACAATTCACAACTAGGGTTGAGTTTGGAGGAAAACCCGATTCTCAATTTGTAATTGTTTAGATTTTTGGAGGACAAAAATAGATTTGCACTCTTTTTACATTAAAAATAAATCCAAAATAAATTAATTTTTATAACAGTGACATACGAGATTGAAATTAGAGAAATAATGACATCTCAGCAATTGTTCCCTTTGCCATAGCTACCGAAAAAGAAACAAATTTACAAATATTAAAATACTGAAATTACACGTGTACCCTAGAAAATCCCTAACTTCATCTCTTTCCCCCAAATTGAGCCGCCGCGGCAGTTTTATTCTCAGGCGAACGCTGGAATCTACAGCGACCCTATAACTCTGGTCGCCAACTCGCCGAATCATGTCTCCAAATTCATACGCCGAATCAACGACGACGATGCGATCATGGTTTCTCGACGGCACTCACGAAGGAGTCTGTGAGAAGAGCTAAAAAAAAAGAAAAAGACTTTTTTAAAATTTCTGGACAAAAAAGAAAAAAAAATGGATTCATCATCGACGAAATCGAAGATCTCGCAATCCCGCAAGAGCAACAACAAGTCAACCAAGAAGCAAGACGCAATTGTGAAACAATCTTACAAGAAACAACAACAACAGGAGGACGATGGTGGATGCTTGATGAAATCATGGATCTGCAAAAACGCATCGTGCAGAGCGAATGTGCCTAGAGACGATTCCTTCTGCAAGAGATGTTCTTGCTGCGTCTGCCATAATTTCGACGATAACAAAGACCCTAGCCTTTGGTTGGTTTGCGAGCCCGAGAAATCGGATGATGTCGAGTTCTGTGGCTTATCGTGTCACCTCGAGTGTGCTTTTCGAGAAAACAAGGTCGGAGTCACGAGTCTTGGGAATCTGATGAAGCTTGATGGGTGTTTCTGTTGCTACTCTTGCGGCAAAGTCTCTGAGATTCTTGGGTGAGTTTTCTCATTGTGATTCTTTGGATTTTCTTGGCTTTAATATAATCCCTAATGTGTGTGTTTGTGAAGATGCTGGAAGAAGCAGCTCATGGTAGCTAAAGAAGCACGAAGGCGAGATGTTCTGTGTTACAGGATAGAATTGAGTTACAGACTTCTCAATGGGACTTGTCGTTTTTGTGAATTACATGAGATTGTAAAATCTGCCAAGTCTATGCTTGAAGATGAAGTTGGGCCTCTTGATGGACCATCTGCAAGAACCGATCGAGGGATTGTGAGTAGGCTTCCTGTTGCAAGCGAGGTGCAAGAACTCTGCACTTCTGCTATAAAAATGGCAGAGGACTTGTCATCAGCCAATGCAGCTAAAGGTTTGTATTTGGAGACATCGTGATTTAGTTTAGGCAATGTGTTTGTCTTAAAAAGGAATGGCTCTTCTTGATCTGCATATTGTTTTTTCGCAGATTCGATTCCTGCTGCGTGCAGGTTTCATTTTGAAGATGTTGCACCTAAGCAAGTGACTCTTCGTTTGATTGAGCTACCTACTGCTGAAGAATTAGATATCAAGGGTTATAAGTTATGGTGTTTCAAGAAAGGAGAGGCGCCTGAGGATGATCAGTGTGTTGATTTAAGTAGAACACAGACGAGGATGGTGATATCTGACCTTGAGCCTTGCACAGAGTATACATTCCGAGTTGTATCTCTCACGGAAGCTGGTCTATTAGGCCATTCTAACGCTAGGTGCTTTACCAAAAGCGTCGAGATACTGCAAAAGAGTAGTGATCATAGCTCAGTGGATCGTAGGAAAAAGAGGAGAATCGATTTAGTAGGAAATGAAGCGGAGGAGGAGAAAAGTAGCATTTCCTCGAGATTCCAAATCGGGCAACTTGCTAAGTATGTGCAGTTGGCTGAAGCTCAGGAGGAAGGCTTGCTTGACGCGTTTTATAATCTAGATACTGATAAATGCAGTGAGCCAGAGGAAGAACAGCCACAACGAAGACGACCACGTGGGTTTGATCTAAACGTAGTCTCAGTGCCTGACTTGAATGTGGAATTCACTCCACCTGATTCCTCTGGAGGTGAAGACAATGGAGTGCCATTAGAATCTCTTGACGATGATAACTCTGATGATGCTGTGTCGAACGGTACACAGAAGAAGATGAACAGCAGCTGCTTGGCGAGATCAGATGGAAGCAACGATGATCCTGAGTCTGATTTCCTCATGACAAGGAAGAGGAAAGCGAATTCGAACAGTCACGAGTCAGAGAACAACGAGTGTGACAGTTGGCCGATCGATGACACTGTTGAGAAATGTGTGAAGGTGATTAGGTTGCTAGAGTGTGAAGGCCACATCGATAAAACGTTCAGGGTCAAGTTCTTGACATGGTTCAGCTTGAGCTCGACCGCTCAGGAGCAATCTGTGGTGAGCACGTTTGTGCAGACTCTAGAGGATGATCCAAGCAGCCTTGCGGGACAGCTTCTTGATGCATTCTCTGATGTTGTCTCCACCAAAAAGCCAAGCAATGGATTTTGCAGCAGCAAGCTCTTGGACTTGGAGTAATAACAATCTCACTAATCCAGTCAGTTTCCATTCAACCATATTCTTTCTTAGTATTAGTATTTTATGAATAATATGATTATAACAAAATTAGTCCATGATTGCTCTAACATGGATTTCGGATATTGCAATCTCTTTGTATTGGTTTTAGGATTTAGGATTTAGGGGTTGACATAAAAGACTCTTGATGGCAAGCATTTTGCCTTAATTCCTTGTTTTTGTTCATATCTATAAAATGAAGTGTTTATGAACTATTTGCTCTGTTGTGTTCTTCTCACCATGATTGGTTCGTTGTCTCGTTGCCAAGGTATACGAGCCAAATACTGTAGTAAGGTAAATAATTTGCTGCTAATTTGAGTTTTGCAAGACTAAGTGGGATTATGGATATGCTAATTTGAGTTTTGCAAGACTAGACATTAATCTTTAATCTCTGCTTGATGAGTTTGCTCATCTGTGCCGCTGCGTTCACAGGATAATTGTGCTCAAGTCTTGGATCTTTTATTTCCCCAATCTTCTGATAATCGGAGAATAAAAATGTCCATACACCAAGTCCTGAGAGTTTAAACTTTAAAGCAATGGAGGAGGCCTATGATATTATATTAACTCATATAAATGCAATGCATATAAGGAAACATTTTTAACCTCAGGGTTCCGTGCAAAGTAAGAAAGACTTTGGACTTGGATTTTTTTCACAGGAAGACCAAAGTAATTCTTTACCTTGATGACTGAGAATTGTTTCAAACTTTGCCTTAAATTGATATAGCCAGACTAAATAATTGTGGTTTCTTCTTTTCCTTTGTTTGCCCTAAGTGAGCAATTGACTTATCAAAGAATTGAATTCCAAAGGCAGTCAATAACATCCCACTCGATCAAGAACTCATAATGCATAAACATCCTGTTTGACGAGGTAATGGTTTTATTTCCAATTCTTCTTTCTTCTTCTTTTCGTTCATGATCTTAGAAATATTAAATACCTAAGTGTTGATTTTCTTCAGCAATACAATCCAAAATTCTTTTATCTTGAAATAAGCGAACAACGACTGGAAGATGCAATAATCTTACGAAGATATGCATACTTGTAACAAACTTGTTTCAATGCATGAGACTTATTGACATTAAAAAAATTATAATGCAAGAACATCCGCACAGAAACAAACATAAATAATTCTAACAATGAACGAAGAAGTGAATTTGCAGAATTCTTTTAAAACAAAAGCCTTACTCGCTAGTCTTTTTTTTTTTTTTTTTTTTTTATCAAATATTTGTTACGTTTGATTAGCAATCATGACCCTAATATCTAAACATGCCATATGCGCATATCTGTATTAGAAGATTCTGACAATCAATAGAAGTATTATTTTAGCTGTCACTTTGAGCGATGAACAACCTAAAAAACTAATTTGATCATTATTGTCGCAAAGAACTTGAGATTTGATTATATTTTATCATAAAAAAATAAAAGCGAAGGCTTCAACTTTCCATTATTATGTTTAGTAAATAAATATAATAATATGTTTTCGTTTTTGAAGAACTTGAAATAATGGAAAGTTTTTTCAAAAAATTCTTTCCATTAAAATTCTTTGAAACTAGCAACACAAGGACCGAAGCAATGAGTCTTTCCAATGACAGCAACCCTATCCTCAACGAGCTGGACGATACCACACAAGAGGACACACATGCTCTTGATGAGCACGGCAACCCCATCATCAACACGATTCCACCACCCACGGGAACACAAGCAACGATCGACGACATCCACATGATCATAGGCGAACTATCCGACAATAACAACTCGTTTGAAGCTATCAAACCTCACGAAGCAAGAGCAATAGCCGCAAGGTGAAATCCAACCATCCCACGAAGTGAAGCACTAGTTGCATTCACAACAGACGATCTACACAGCCTCCTAACCCGCATAACGACCCACTAGTCATAACACTGCAAATTCACGAAAGCATAATCACCAAAGCTCTGGTTGACAGCAGGAGCACTGTCAACATTATCTTCAAGGAAACCTTGGCAAGGATGAGCATCGGCGAAAGCGAAGTAACAATAACCGCGAAACCCCTAACCAGATTTACAGGAGACACCACCCGTAGTAACAGCACGATACAGCTAATAACCTACATAAGCGGCGTTACCAAAAATACCAAATTCTTGATCATCGACAGTTCGACTATTTACAATGTAATACTCGGAACGCCTTGGATCCACAACATGAAAGCTGTAATCTTGACTTACCATTAATGCATCAAATTCTCAACACCGGTCGACTTGTTTACCTTAAGAGGCGACCAATCGATAGCAATAACCTGCATCCTAAGCGAGAGAAAAATCAGAACAACATCATCGTGTATGGTAAACGAAGACATGGACCCACACCTCCCTTACCACAAAAGACCGAAGCCCGAACGAGTCATACAAGTAAGTATCGACGAATGGCATCTAGAAAGAGTCATCAGCATCGGTGGCAACCTCGCGGAGGTTATAAAAACTGAGCTCGTTAAGCTCCTAAGGAAATGTATACATCTGTTCGCTTGGTCTATGGCAAATATGAAGACCCCAAAATCACGTCGCATAAACCAAACGTCGATCCTACGTTCAAACCAATCAAGTAAAAACGACGGAAGCTCAGCCCGGAGAAAGCTTAAGCAGTAACTGACGAAGTGAAAAAACTGCTCGGCGCCGGATCAATTACGGAAGTACAATACCCCGATTGGTTAGCTAACCCTGTCGTTGAAAAGAAGAATGGCAAGTGGAGAGTCTGCTTCGACTTTACCGATCTCAATAAAGCTTACTCAAAGGATTACTTTCCACTCCCCCATATCGACCGACTTGTCAAATATATAGCTGGGAATCAACTACTATCTTTTATGGATGCTTTCTCCAGTTATAATCAAATCTTTAGGCACCCGACGATAGTGAAAAGACGGCCTTCATCACGGATCGAGGAACCTACTATTACAAGGTGATGCCCTTCGGGCTAAAATATGCAGGAGCCACTTATCAACGGTTGGTCAACAAGATGTTTGCAAGCCAGCTCTGCTGTATCATGGAAGTCTATATTGACGACATGCTAGTAAAATCCGTGGTCACCAAGGATCACGTCGGGCACCTCAATAACTGTTTTAAATCTCTCGAGAAATACAGAATAAAACTCAATCCGGCTAAATGCACCTTCAGTGTAACTTTCGAAGAATTTCTAGGTTACATCGTCACCCAGAGAGGAATAGAAGCAAACCCAAAACAAATCTCGGCGATACTAGATCTACCATCACCTAAGAATACATGCAAAGTGCAAATATTAACCGGGAGAATCACCGCGCTAAACATATATCTCGTGATCCACGGACAAATGTCTACCTTTTAATCAGATGCTTCAGAGAAATAAGCGCTTCAATTGCGATGACAAATGCGAAGAAGCCTTTACACAATTAAAGGAATACCTGACCACCCCGCCTGTAACACCCCCGGTACGGAATAGGACCAGTCCCGACCGGAGACGCTACAAAATGCCGAGGTTCACTTGATAAGTCAGCCCGTCTTAGAACACATCTAAGCTTAAAGCCGTCCCGGCAAGTTAGCTCGACCCTCTCGACTGAAGCCTAAGGCTTGCCAACCCGTACTCCAGCCGAGAGTTGTGTAGACTCGGACTAAGCCATTTAACAGCGGAAGACACAAGGGTTTTATAGATAGAAAATCCGCTTTTATTTCAAGAAACATATATAATACAAAGCGTTTATTTTTAGTACATAGCGTATCCATCCGAGATTTCAAACATCATACAAAAAACCTTGTACAAAACATACTTACTATATTTTACAAAAGGCACCCAAATTTACTCCGGTGGTCCTAACGTCCACAGCACCCTCTGATTCCCGATGGCTTACTAAGGTTTCCTGCAAGAGAGAAAGGGGGGGGGGGATGAGTAATCTAAGATTACTCAGTGAGTCCAGGATCCACTAGAAGAAAGAAATCCCCGAGAACCCCAAGAACCCCCAAACAACAAGCAATAGCCGAAGCAACAAAGAGTAAATAGCCGAAGCATGCAATCCTAGATCTATATGCAAGCACTATCCTAACTTCCATCCCACACACACTCGCGTGGATACAGAGATCTCTAAGTGGGTCGGCCAGTTCCCCTCTGCGAACACCCTGCACTTGACTATCACAAAGATAAGCCAAGCCGGAACATTACTACTACGAACACCCTGCACTTGGCTATCACACAGACAAGCCAAGCTGGAACATTGTTTACCCCGAGAGCTCCTCGGTCGGTTCACATCTCGGTGGGGTTTCCATCCGAGAGCCGCCAAGTGCGTTCACATCCCAGGCGGGAACAACTACGCCTCACTGCTGGTTTTCCACTATCCCGTCGAATAGTACTCGGACAGGCTAGCAAGGCCCATTACTCCTCCGAGTCTTCCCATCTAGCAGTCCGTCGCTAAACATGGGGAGCGGGGAACTCCGACCACACCGTCAGTAAGTCAAGAAGGATACACCACCAACATGACTCTACAGTATAATGGATCTCACGCCATTATACCTCACACCCGCGTTTGGCGAAGGTGGGAAATAAACAAACTGTTGTTATGTCACCTTTGATTAAATCGGGTTGATCCACACTTGATCAAACGCCAACACACCTCCACACAACCTCCGAGAAGTTAGCGCCCAAGAGTGCGGCAAAGCCAGAACTTCTCTAGTCCCAACTCTCGTTTACGATTACAAGCCTAACGCTGGAACCTCGCTCATGCACGTTTATTACAACGCCACTTATATGACTTTCCAGCCACGCAGCGGGGTTTACCATAAACCGCACACTTGCTCATCCAGCGAAGGATCATGCAAATAGATATGAGATCTGGCAGTCCTTACACCCTTCTTATCACTCGGTAAGGATGATAACATGTCCCACAGACATGCATCAAACCGTTACCTCACCTAACGAGTTTCGCAGCACACATATATACCAGATCTAAGGTAGTTCCTGCATAAAAACG